ATTTCCTCACAGAAAACTGTGCCGCCTATCATCTTGCGACCATGTAGACCGTTTGTCAACCAGTGCCGGACCCACTGTCCGTCGGCACGTGCGTACGAAAAAAGGCCAACAGAAGGACAATCGCGACAGGTGGGATCAGAACATGAGTGACAGGTGTGGGTGTATACTGTGACATCTGGCGCCGGAATGCTGCCGGATCGTGATCATGCTAGTGAGCCAGGGGTGGTGATGAAATTGCGGTAAGAACCGTCGCGATCAGGCGATCATCGCACCAAGTATGGCCTTCTACGATGGTTGTGGTATTTGCGAATTTCGGCAGTTAGGTGGTTGCATAGTAACTGCATCGTGTAAACACTGCAGCTTTTGTGAGCCCCACAGATGGTGCGTCAGCTCCACGACGGTATGGTGGCGCGCATCACGGACAACGGAGCCACCTGAGAAGTATTTGCACTGACCAAGGGAGTGAAGCAGGGCTGCGTCCTGGCGCCTACACTCTTCAGTCTCATGTTCTCTGTCATGCTGACGGATGCCTACCAAGAAGAACGTCCGGGTATCCGCGTCGCCTACAGGACGGACGGCCAACTCCTCAACCGCCGGTGGATGCACAACTACCGTCCACGAACTCTTCTTCGCGACGACTGCGCTCTCAACGCAGCTCATAGAAGACTCGAAGCTGGCCTTTGCTTCCTTTTTGCATTAACTCTAGCTCCAATCTTCCCCTCATTGACAATTTCACTCCGAGAGATCGGTCTTATGCCACGCGCAACTCCTTCCTGTTGATTCCGCCGCCTCTTCGCACCACATCTAAGCGCTCCGTCTTCTTTGCTTCCAAATATGCGTTCCTTTGGAATAATTTTCCGCCAGAAATTAGATCCTCGGTTAAGTTACTGGTATTCAAGTCGAAATTACGCAAACACCTTACACCGGAAAGTATAAAGGCACTGTTAATGGTCTCATTCCAGAACACTCAGCTTCTTGACTTCGAGAAGGGTCCTCCTGGGATTTAGTGGTAGACCAAATGGAAACCCTCAATTATATCTTTACAAACCCTGTTTTGAATTGGTTTCTAAATCCACTGCTATCACGGCTATTATAGAAGGGGACATGTAAAGGGGCATGGGAATCTTCGTCACCGCCTGCGACAACTTCGATCTGATCATCAACACGGAGAAAACGGTGGTCACGTACCAGCCGCCCCCATCAACTTGAACGACGCCCAATTGCAAGCCGTGGACAACTTCACCTATCTAGGCATCACCCTCTCTCGCAGCACCCAAATCGACAACGAGGTGGATCTACACAGCCAATCAAGCCTTCGTTCGCCTGCAGAACGCTGTTTGGAATCGTCACGGTCTCTGTCTCAGCACCAAGCTCGAGACTTACAAAGCTGTCATCTTGCCAACGCTGTTGAGTGGAACGGAGACCTGGGCGATGCACAAGAAGCAGGCGCGGAAGCTCAGCTATTTTCACCTCAGCTGTCTCCGGAGGATACAAAGCTGAAGTGGCGGAGCCGGATCCCCAACACGGGAGTTCTGGAACGGACAGGAATCCATGCCATGCTGAGACAACTGAAACCACGTTGGAGCGGCCACCTTGTGCGGATGGGCAATGGGCGGCTACCCAAATGACTCTTCTATGAAGGCGTCGTCACGGGCTCCAGTCAATAACGAGAGCAAAGACGGCGCTCTGGAGACTTTCTTAAGGCGACTGCAGATCAGCCTACCGAACTAGGAAGACCTCGCCCGGAATCGACCGGCATGGAGAAGAGAGGACTGGCCCAGCCATCTATGAAACAATTTGGATCTCCGCCTCCAAAGCCCAAAGGAAGGCTCGTAAGTCAAAAGTGCCTCGACTTCTCAACGCCGACAGTCAGTCGCTTCCAACAGGCCTGCTCTAACAACGTACATTCCGCGCGCGAATCGGCCTTGTAGGACACCTTCGAATGCGATGCGCCAGCAACTCGACAATGTTGACTTCGCCCACTCTCGTCCCCCGCCGCAAACCCTGCGACGATGGCCACCCCCGTCACCACTCCCGTCGCTGCCCGCTGTCATCAATTACCGACACCATCTGCCCTGTCCCAACCCCAGCGCCGACCATGGTGACCAGCTCTGCCAACACTGCGACATCCCTCACTCCCCCCAATGACGGAAAGACATCTGACGTCGCATCATCCGCTACCACCACCACCACCACCACCAC